AAAGACACATTCGCCAACAAAACAAAAAAAAGGGAAAATGTTTTTCCTGTTATGTTTGCATTGATTTTTGAACTATTTGCTATTAAGGTGTAATTTTACCTGTGTAACCTTCTTATTGAATACGTTTTAAATTTATATTATGTAGCTAAAATTACATGTAAAAAAGTACATTATGAAATGGCTTTGGATGTCACTATTCTAGCGTGAGATATTCTCGTGATGTGATATTCTATTGACGAAGATTATGACGGAAAAATTAAAAAAATCGTATTCCAGAAATCTGCCACAAATTCTTTTCAAATAAAACACCGTCACGGTAGGTATGGTGCGCATTTTGCTCAAAACGTGCGGACATCTCAATTTGCAAATCGAAGGGTTGCGTGCCTTGCGAACAACAAACAGCTTTATCCACCAATCGAGCTTCCAACCCAGGCTTTTCAATTGCGGTTTTTCATGGCATCGCGTGCACCAAATATTTGCAATTCGATTCCGTATTAATTACTTACGGCTGTTAACGTATTTTTGCTTATTGCTCGAGATTTTCACCTCGCGTTTTTCTCATTTTAATTGCCAGATATAGGATAGAGAAAAAGTTGTGACTAAGTACCTACTATATCTCCCTTAATTATCATTGTTTTGTAAGCATGTTTTAATAGATGTTTCATAAAATAAAAACTTTGAAAAGATTTCAATTGTACGCAACAAATGTTGGTATGATTATTTAAGAACTTTAATGCGACATTGCCATTTGGAATATAATTTACAAAACATTTTTTCTTATGATAGGAGATTATAATATTTGTAAATATAATAACTTTATATTATTAAAAATAGTCAAATTAAGAGTTAAGTAAAGCACTTAAGCACTTTTATACAGAACGTTTTCAAGAGTTCTTCTGTTTGTGTGAATTACAAAGCTCCGTTACAGATTTATATTCTTATTTTCCTAAAAATTAAAAAAACAAACGCCATAATGCAGCAAATTATTAAACAATATGCACAACTTTTCTAAGCGCAGCTCTGAAATCTACGCAATAGGTTATGCAACTTGTCATACCAGGAACAGTTAGTTTTCGATGTATCTCAAAAACGAAAAGGTGCCCTTACTGAAAAGTAAAGACCGAGATACAAATATCCATCATCAACTTCAATACAAATGAATGCAATTCAATAACTGGTCCCGTCTAACGAATAATATGACGTTCTTTATAACGTGTCATTGCTGGAAATCTTTGGGATATCTGTAGTTATCCGCCATTGACATTTTACTTATTTTTTAAATTTCATAATCACAAAAAAACTCTTTGGAGCAAAATTTCACTTGTCTGAAGAAATAGAACTGGAAACGGATAACTCAATTTAACGTCAATATTTAAAATTATTTTATATTAGTAAATAATTAAGTCATTAACTTAAAAAACGAGACAAAAAATGTTCAGATTCCCTAACTTATTTATTGGTTTATTGGAAGTTTTTGGCAACATCGTGCCTTTATGAAATACAAAAAATGAAAATATTTATATATATAAACAGAAGTAATAGATTTCTAATTACCGTTGTAGGGTTATAAATTTACATATAACAAGGGTGACACATTTAAATCCAATTTGTCATTAAGTAATAGGTTCGAATATCTGTTAACCTCCATTGCTTCCCACAAATTTAGTTTTTTGATTTTTGATTCAATATGGAAAATACCAAAATTATCATCAAACTTGTGCATTTCTTAATTTAAATGAATGACATAGTTAGAATCCATTTTTTTTATTTTTATACGCTGTTTTATGTTCGTTAATGCGTTTCTTAAATGTTCTACCTTTTTGTCCGATATGAGTTTTTGGATATGATCCACATTTCAACTTGTAGTTTTTTTGTTTTTTAAAAATTTTGATATGGTGTTTTCAGTTCTAAAAGCAATCTAAGATGTTTCGAATCTTTCTTGCTAGGTTCTCTTAGGTATTTTATTATTTTATAAATTTTGAGTTCGGTGTTTAATATCGAATAGATAAAGTTCAGAATTATTTGAAATTGTGATGTAGTTATAACCTTATCTATCAAAGAGTGGTCGTCATCTATTTGTTTTATAACATTTAATTCTTTTTCAACTTTTTCTGTGGAAAGTGGTATATTAAGTCTGTGAATAAAAGAATAAAAGGCAGCTATTTTGTGTGTGAGGGTGATTTGAGGTATTAAGTATTACTATGTTTAGTAATAGTTAAATCCAGAAAGTTTAAAGAGTTAATATGAGTCAAAAAGGACTGTAGTTTTTTTTCCGTTCCAGTGAACCAAAAACATCATCTACGATATACCACCAATGAAATCTTTAACTGACAATTAAATACAAAATAATTTTGGTCTAAGCAAACTGAGTGAGAATATTGTCTATTAGGTTTAATACGTCAATCGGTGGAATGCTAGGAAGTAGATTTTGGACATCAAAGGAAACTAGAGTTGCCGTAGGAGGAATTTTAATGTCTTTAACTTTGTTGATTAGTTCGAGTAATTTTTGGTAATATATCTAGCTTTAAAGGCAATATGATATTACAAAATTTTTATTAATCTTATTTAAAGTTTAACTAATAGTGCTGTTACAAAAGAAACTACAGGAATAATTAGCATATCGGGTTCATGTAATTTAATTAAGTATTTTTCTCTGTCATTAAAAAGTGATGAATCTGTAAATACAGTTTTGATTTGTTTTTGATATAACTCGGTGGGATCCAATTGTATACTTTGATATATGTCTGGTTTCAGAAATGATTAACGAACGTAACAAAACGTATAAAAATAAAAACTATACCATTCATATAAATTGAGGAATGTACAAGTTTGACGTTAAAACGCAAAAAACTAAATTTCTATCTATTCTAATTCTAAATCTTAAATCTAAAATCTAAAACTTAATGACCGATTGAATTTAAATGCGTGAATTTTTGACAGAACATTTCACTCAGATTTTAGGTTCTCTCAGGAAGGACAAGGACGACATTATGGCAAGCTTCGATGTCAAATCTATAGCATTCCAGTAGAGGAGGCTTATTGAAGAAAACGGGGATCTTCCACCGTACATAACTGATCTGTCAAGACACTGAATGAAAAAAGCTTACTTTATGTAAAACGGGAAAATATACCGACAAGTACATGGAGCAGCAATGGGATCATCTCTCTCACCTGTGATTGTCAACCCCTTCATGATTTACTTTGAAAAGAAAGCAATAGAGAAAGCAAATCTGAAGCCAAAACTATAGACAAAATACGTTGATGGCGTATTTGTTGTTGTTTGTTTGTTATTTGCCTATTGGCCTTTTGGAATTCCTAGAACATCTGAATTCCATTCAACCAAGGATTCAATTCACAGTAGAACTTGAAGAGGACAACAGTCTGCCCTTTCTAGATGTGCACATTACAAGGATCGAAGATGGACACTTGAAACACACTCTCTATAGAAAACCAACACACACCAATAGATATCTGAACGCTAAGTCTCATCACCACCCATCACAGATACAGGCCGTGGCAAATACATTAATTGTTCGGTCCTTTAGGCTCACAAACGAGAAGAACAGAGATGACGAACTGAAGAAAATTAGTACCTGTCTTCCACAAAACGGATACCAAAGGTGCATCATCAGCAAGACAATCAGTAAACAACAGCAGCCGCAACAGAGAGTGCAGGACTAGACCTTACGAGATCGATCGCTGTACTGCCATACATCAGGGGGGACAAAATCGGCCAAATATTACGGAAGCACGAGATATCAACGGCATACAAACCTTTATTATTAGAGAGTTATTACTCTGGACAATTTTTAGATGACGACTTCCCTCAAGAATAGATAGGTACCAACGGACCTCTAAGATGGCCTCCACGATCTGCAGATCTTTCAGTTTTAGATTTTTTTTTATTTGGATATATGCAAAATAAAACGATAAAACACGATACGAGTCTGTAGCAGAACTTCGAGGGGCAATTGATTTAGCTCTACGAAGAAAACCAATAATTCTTTCAAATAGCATTAAAAAAATAAGAAAAATGTGCGAGTTCTGCATTCGAGAAAATGGTCTCTAATTTAACCAACAGTTTTAAGCATAATATTATGTTAATATTCTTTTGATATGATGTTATTTCTTACTAATTAATGTAATAATCGACTATAATAAATTAAAAACTATTGCAAAGAGTAGTTCATAACGTATGAAACACATTAGTTGAAAAACAAACGAAAAGGAATTACTCACATTTAAATAATTACATTTTAAAGTAATGAGTTTCTTGTATGTTAATACTTGTTTACTTGGATATTGTTTTTAATACATTAATCATGACCTACTGCTACAAATAAAATAAAATATAAAAAAAATATTTTGAATTTAATTTTCAAAACAACTTTATACTAACATAGATCTATTTCTGAAAATCTGAAATTAATTTCCAATCAATATAAAAAATAATATACAGGCTGTTCCATTTAAAAAAATATATGTTTGCTTCATAACTAATAAACGGTTAGAGCAAGTAAAAAAATCCTATAAGAACGTTTTGTAAACTCTTCAATAACCTAAAAGGCAACGGCGATACAGGGGGTGGTCACCCGTATCTCAAAAATCAAGAAGTTCATGATAATTTTTAAATTTTTTAAAAAATTGGTCGCGGTGGAGACAATTGCACAAACGGTTAAAATAACCCCCGACAGAAAAGACAACCACCTGTCATACTGCACAGGGCTGAACCGCCACAATATTGATTTTCCGCACAATGCAGATATATCGAGGCAGCGGCAATATTTTAGACTAACCATGTATCATAAAATTTGTGCTGGCGCTCCAACCCATCGCAACGACACGCATATTATATCGCAATTAGATGGAAGTTATTTTAGCGGACGAACAGTCGCCGTCGTTACGAAACGCCTGTTTGAACGCGGCGTCGCGGCGCTCGACGTCCCGTCGCATCCCGATCTAGCACGCGAAAAATCTAGAGAAAAAAGTCGGGTACTTACTTCCCTAGTTCTTCTTTCAAGTCGTAATTATCGCTGAATCTTGTACAAGCGAGCGGAACTGCCATAACTCGCTCTTTTGTCAGGCCGACAGCTCGGAGCTCCCGATGATTTGATGGATTCGAAGAAAATAGGCTATGTCGCGCACAGCTTGCAAAACTACGCCACCCGAAATACACTACTGTCTTTTTAATGCGGATCAACTGACCTTTATTTTCCCCTTTAACCAAACGATTTTCAACTGTTTGTTAAAGCGGTGAACGCGGACGTCGCACAGCGTATTAAACACGATGTCTGATCCCCACTAGAACCGCTGAAATGTACGTCCACTGGGATCTAACCTAAAAGATCAATATTGGACTTCGTCTACACGGCGCTTTACGAACGAAGTCAGCAGGCCCGATCGACAACCATAACCTTGCAGTGTTTATTTTTGTATTGTTTACAGGAATCGTGCGGTTTCACTCCCACACCTTATCCCGCCTCATTTTTTCTTCCTTTGGTTACTTTAAAAATTATCCGATTATTCAACATATTACGAACAAAAAGAGATTCCCATGCGCCACGTCCTTATTTTCAAGCACGTACGTAGCGCGAAGCTACCGAGCGGTTGTCGTGGCGACCGAATTAAATCCGGGCAGTAACTCCGATAAGTAATTAAATAAAATTATAAGGGATTTAATCGACGCTAAATACACGGAATTGAATTAATCCAGTTGTTATCTTATACTTATGTCATAAAACTATCAGCAAATCCAACACAATTAAATACGAAAATTTCATAGCATTTCAGCAGATTTCTTTTCCAGTAGTGCGAAATTCTGGTACTTCGAACCATCTACACGACGTTGTGCCAATTTTCCGTCGTTACAGGAATCTTCTTAAACGTTTCGGAAGGTAATTACATCTATTGTTCGTAAGATGTCACCAGCAAAACAAATCATGATCGATTCTCATTACTACGTTCACAAGCAGGATTACGACGTTCAACGACAGCTCCTGCCTATATTTATTTATTAATATTTGTTCTCTTAGCCCGGTTTGGTTTCAAAATGCGCGTTCAATAAAATTTTATTTATCTTCATACTACGCCACAGATTCCTGTGTGTCTTATCTTGCTTCAAGGAGTTGATGTAAATTTCTCAAATCCAGTGCCTTGAATATTTGATTTGTTCAGTTCTTCGAAAGTTTCATATTGTCTAGAGTTCATATTTATTTGTTTATTCTAAATATTGAAAATGAAAGTCCGTACAGACTAACCAAAATTATTTTATACGATTTTTTATGTGACGCTGTTTTGCCAACAAATCAATCAAAAATACATGCTGTATGAAAGAAAAATCGAAAACTGGCATCTGTTTTGCTAGGAAGGACATAAAATCAATTTGCTTGCAATTAAACGAAATAATAAATAATAGAGATGCTTATTTATTTCTTACTTCACTGAAATTTTAAAATGGACGGTTTAACGAAATCAACATCAATCTGGCATCGCTGTCCCAGGAGATGACTACAAACAGTACGATCTCCGATCATAGCCGTGATTGTGCTTACTAGATGTCTATACAGCTGTTACACAAATACCAAGCACCACAAGATAGGTAAAGTCTGTTCATAGATATAAGAAAATGACTAACTGATACGAATTAAGGAAAGACCCGGGCAAGCTGTAAGAATGAAATATGGTCGAACAGGTCCGTACTTTTAGAATTTAATTATTTGGGGTTTTTTTAGGAAAGATACTAAACAATATTTAATATTTTTCGCAGACAGAAAAAGTCCATTTCGAATCCAACCATCTTTAGAGCCAGCATGACAAATAGTTATTCTTATACCTCTTTTTGATGGCGCGTTTGTTTTATACTTATCAGTTGAATTCAACCCAACCCTTTTCCGGAGTATATAAGTGTCGAACCAGGTTTCATCCAAGTAAATAATTGGCCTTTGTTGTTCTCTGTCAATCCTAATTTTTTCTAGCCATTTCCGAATTCTAAAAGATTCCGTTAAAACTTGCCTTTTGTCAATTTTTTTAAATCTAAAACGCATGTGTTACTTCAATAAGGTAGTTCTGCCACATTTAACACCGGTTTCATCGTTTTCAAGCCTCCTAATTAAGATATCTAATGCAAGCGTGCCTACGTTGTTCCTCGTAGAAGTGGTAAATTTTACGCCGTATTATATCTTGATCACTTTCATCTAAAGTCGAGATAATGTCAGCATCGCTGTAGTACACACAAATTAAGCATGATTACTAATAAACTTAAACTAAGAAGTATACCAAACCAAAGAATATTAAACACAGGTAAAATTATATTCTATTACGGACCACAATTTTACCCGAATGTAAATTCCGAAACTTTAGGTAATAATCTTGTTGCATTGTATGTTAATGACCACCCATTCAAAAGCAATTGGCCACTTTCTTATATCTATGAACAGACCATACATCCACATAGGATCCCAAGTACGGCCCGACGATGTACATATTAAATAGTCTCACTTTATTAATGCTATTTTGGTATTTTGGATCATCAATCACATCACAATTATGCTTAAACATTTTTGTATATAGGAGGTCGATTTAATGCGGAGCCAGTAATTTTTTCCAGGAATTCCCACTTCCTAAAAATATTTGCACTTTGGCCTTCCGTTTACAAAAACAAACCACTTCAAGCGGGATTTACATTGTCATGAAACACGTACGATGCAGTGTAAGTTATACAGATAATCCATCGATATTAGATTTAGGCATTAAATACACCAACAACTGAATCTTGATCCTAATCTATTAACGAAAAAAACACCGGACCACTTAAACGGTGGTGATTTCGTAAGAATTCTGATTGATCTATTTTAACTTTATTTTTTTACTTCCTGCTCTAAAATGCCCAATTATGCCATATCAGGCATGGGCATAGTGTCAGTTCATTGGACACTGTCACGAGCCACTTCGATTGTTTCCGGTACTTTAGTCATGGTTTAGAAGGGACCGCATGTTTTCAGTAGATCAAAAATTCATGATATTTTGACATTTGTCGCTTCTAATCGAGAGAGAGCATTGCATTCTTTTCAAAGCGATGCGAATGTCTTGACAAGCTGAGACAATGTTGCCAGTGCTGGACATGACCAATACACCAATATGTTTTTAAAAGCATAGTTAAATCATAAATTTAACTTAATATAAATTCAAAGAATGTCTTGCTAATATTTCGTTGCACATAACCCATAAGCATAGTGATATGACTTGTAAGGAATGTCTTTTTTGATTTAGCAATGTTGCAACAGATAAACGGTTTATCACAACAGTAATTTCGGAAATGACTCTATTAGGTGGACGGTTGTGTATTAAATATATTCGTGAGTTTTTGCAAAAACGCACCCAGTAACGAATGGTAACAAAAATTGTTCAGATATCTTCTCGTTTATTAAACACACTTACTTCGCTCGTTCCTAAATAAACACGTGTTTAATGAACTTTTTTTATCTCTCTTGGTTTAAAAAATGTGAATTCAACATTATGTTATCAGCACCAAATCTCGTTAATCCGATGACGAAAAATTCTTATCAAACTCGTGGTCCGGGATAAAGATAAAGCGCGTAAACCGGCGGAAACGTGGCAACGCAGCTGCGACTTTAACGATTTGACAGTTCCTTTGCACTTGCAGGTTATTCATATATAAAAAGCTGTATATAAACTTTTGGCATTAGTTTGTTGTATAGTGTGTATGGAGTGTGGTGCTTTAAGCTTCTAAAAACTGAATCATGTGTGGTAAGTTACTGTACCCAATTTTTCATGTACGTAACCTCGATCGTTTTCGGGGATGATCGCGCTTGATCTACTGGAGTTTTCGAATTTTGCTTTTCATTACTATTTGCCAATCAATTGACATAGTGTAATTGGCAAAAAACATTTTTGCGGTTGAAGCCATTGTCGATATGGCGCAATTTAGTGATAAAATATACGTCCACGTAAACTTAAAAACATTGCCATAATTTCTCTTTTCGGATGGAAAAATATGGGGCAACATTTTTCGTTGCAAAATCTGAATTATGTAAGCAATTTCGTTTCAATATTTGCCTAATTATCGATCCGTTATAAATTGATAGTCTATTAGAACAAACGCAGGTAAGCAAACTTTTAGAATTATCTTAAAAGTGAAAGTCTACGATGTACGAAAGTATCACCGTGTAGGAAAGCAATCAAAATACCAAGTTATTTGATATTTTGTTTTATTGCTTTTAAGCATCAGATATGATGTACTCTGTATGAATGTTAAGTTCTCTTCTGGAATTATAATATTAGACAAACATTTTTTAAATATAATTTTTAGTAACAATGAAATTTTTTAGTAATAATGGAATTTAATATTTCAATGCATTTGTTGCTAACAATTTGAATATCTTAATTCTTAAGGAATTTAATTAGTTGAAGGCTTTATTTGTGGCAAATGTAGACAATTTATGTTGTTGGCTTCTAGCTACACTTTCTGTTATTTTATTACTGCATTAATTGTGGTTTTAAGCCTCACCTCGTGCCATAATACACAATATTACTATTGGACTTCTCATAAATTCATAAATGGCTACTTTCGTTAATATTAAACCTGCGAGGAAGTTTAAATGACAAGAGTTTTGTATTTTGTAACTAAATTTATTCCTTTTGCTTTCGCGGGGTTGGTATGTAAAACTTACAGAGCAATCAGAAATAAATGTATCCAGGCCAGATGATTATCACACTAGAATTAAAATTTTGTAATTTTTTTGGATTCAGGCTGCGTTTTGAGAACGGAGAAAATTTTCAGCAGATACATAGATGCTTGGGCTTTTGAAAAATCCAATTACTCAGCTATACCTAGTGGCGCAAGTTCCAAATGTTATAAGTATGCAGCACAAACCTGGGAGAAAAATATTTTTGAGATAGACCAATCTTTTGTTACCTTTTGATATAATTTATTCAATGTACATAATATAGTATAAGTGATATCAGTCAAGTGTTAATAAGAGCTGAGTTTCAGAGCTTATTTGTCTCAATAATACTTATGACTTTGTGGGATGGTGAGTTATACCTCTTTTATAACCATCACAATCATAAATTTACATTTAAACCAATTTTTAATATTTCAGCTTTGTTCGTTAAATACTGTATGAATATGTAATTAAGAGTTTAATGTAAAATAAAAGTCATAAAGCTTGTAGCCATCTTGGCGCACCCTATAGTCTCCGGTAAAAGTATATGTTTCTGGGTGTAGGTATAATAGTATATTTCCTTATTTGATTTGACGGTGAACTGGATTCGTATGGATTCGGTTTGACGTACCAGCAAATGCAGAACGTTCAAGGTTAACGTTTAGGTTACGCGTTTCTTGCAACTCATTTTCTGATTTTCGTATACTTTCTATTCTTTCCGTCGCTACTTATTAATGTGACGGTAATAGAAGACCGAGAAAACTTGACCTCCGCAGAAAACGCTAACTGGTTTGTTTGGGTGAGGACTCGTAGCACCAATGCAAGGTGAATCGCGACATGCGAATTGTTTTACGACCTCGCAAACCTACGCCAAGATCTTTTCATATTGCCAAAATTCTGCATCAGTTTAATCAATTCAAAGGATTGAATTTAGTGTTAGTAATTATATTATTATTCATATTTTCTTATATTAAGCATCAAAAATCGAAGCCTGAAATAATTTTTCATAATTTCATTTCATTTTCTTTGTTAAAAAGCACAAGTTATTAGGCATTTTTTTAAATTTGAGCACAGCATAGTACACTCGCTAACTGTTAAATACATTTTGGCAAAAGAGTCTTATATACTGTGCTTTTCTCTCGCCAGTTGCGAACTAAAACTAACCAATATAAGTTTTTTATCTATGACTGCGAATGCCGTTGGTATTCACGAATGTAGCACTTTTTGAAGATAATGTTTTGGTTAGTAGAAAATAGGTGTGTCCGCCGCAATCTAGTTTTCTAGCGGCTGCAAGGTTTTTGACAGATTATGACGTTGACAGTTGCGCTACCTGGATCCGTTTTTTAAAGCAGCGGGAAAAAAATGTAGCTTCTATTTTTTGGCTGCTTCTGTTGTTAGCAGTGCACACAGTCTACACAGTCTACTACTCAAAAGTCTAATGTTAAAAGTAACAAGAGAAGATATAAAGCAGAGGAAATGAACTTAAGGTAGATAGCCACACAGACAGGATATAGGAACTAAAAATTCTTATAAAGGAATCAAACATTACTCAACAGGAGACAAATAATTTATTCAGAGATTATTTTAATCTAAAAAAAATACACCTTTTTTGCATGCTATCCAGATATGGATTTAAACTAATTTTTTTGTTGAGTCTAAATTGTTGAGGAGGGTATACTAATTATGTTTAAAATATTTTATCTTAAGTGTTCCATTATAATAGTTATAGTTATTCCCATTAGAAGTTTATTTGGTTTAATGGTGCATAGTGAGAATTGTATTTGTTTATTCCTACTTTATCTTTTGTGTTAATGTACCTTCATTTAAAAAGGTACATTTCATGTATAAATTAAAATAAATACTCTGAACTGATGACATTAAATTTTTATTTAATTAAAAACGTATAAATAACACAATAAAAAAATAAATGAAATCAAACTTAATAAATTTCTGGCCAGCAAGAGGTTAAGTTATAAAATATTCTTAAACGGTGCCCCATCTAGCCTAATTACAGGGTTGATAAATAATGACAAATTGCATTGCTCTTTTCAGTACCATTAGGTGTTTCTAAATCTAAAGTTTCAATAACATTCAAATAAAGACATTCATGTTAAAGGGGCTCATTTGATAAAATAAAGTTGTAAAATATTTTTCTTACTCCAAGTACTGCAGTCTCCTAAATTTACCTTTTACTTGACCAAAGGATCATAAAAGTTCCTGGTTCCTTCCGTTTTTTCAGAATAAGGGTCATTTTTCTTTAAAATGTTCAATCAATTTCTGGAAGAAAGAAAAGCGGTAAATTCTTCCTTTTTTCCAGAATAAGGGTCATTTTTCTTTAAGCCGTTCAATCAATTTCTGGAAGAAAAGGGGTAAATTGTCGACATTTGTAATAAAAAGACTTTAACTATTGTTATATTAATATTTTAATCCCATTTTATTTCAAAAATAAAATAGTGTACAAGCAAGTACCATTTATAAATATGGATAAACTTAATTATAAAAATGAAATAAATTTGCCTGCATGATTGAAGGACTTATATGAAAATGTGCAACATACTCTTGTTCGCTATATTTCGGCACTTCTGTTCTGCAACTTAGTTTTAAATCCTTCAGGACCAATAGTTTCCACAGCGGCTGTATCTGTGGAGCAGTTTCCTACTAATTCTTCTAATAACACTGCAACCTTATGGTTTAAATTAGTGAATTCATCTAGCTTTCTAATCCATTTTATCATCCATTATGAACTATGAACAGTTTGGAAATGCGTATTAAATTTTTAAGAGGTTAGGTTAAGCTAACGTCTTTTAAGCTGCTGCTAAAATTTTGCATGTAGCTGCTACCTTACGGTGATCCGCTTTATGCATCAAAACCAGCCTTCAAGACGAGAACATCACAACCTTTAATTTTAACAAAATTATAACAATATAAAACTTTCAAGCGTATGTACGTACAGAAAAAATAACAGCAAATATTGCAGCTGCACAGTTGTACATAGTTGGAACACTTAAGCTATTTTCTATGGGTGGGATCTACTAAACTTTTAATTTAATTTAATTGAAGCTTTTAAATTTTGGGGTCAATACGCAAACTAACAATTTACCAAATACAAATACTTATTTTTACTTACTGCACCGGACTACGGGCGGATTTATATTTGCATCTTTATCTAACCCATCGACACTTGTATTTCTTCTTCGTTTTCTTTGCCGGCTCCATTCGCAGTTCTCTAAACATTTAACCACGCAACAGATTCGTATTATGCCTGATTGGGTTTTTAAGCGGTTACGATCGATTTTTAGTTTTTTTTTGCGATTTTTAGAGATTCATACCACGCTTTTTTATTATTTGTGTCGATGAGAGTTGTGATTTGGCATAGGTCTATAGAGTTATAAATATAAAATAATATTATAATAGAGTTAGAAATAAGAGATGGTACGTTCAAATATTTCGTGAACTCCGTTTTTTTTTACTATTTTCAAGTTTCAAAATCCCAACATTTTTATTAGCAGTAGAATCTGACAATGGATACTGAAACACCGTTTTCTACAAAATTTTGCTGACGTTGCTGTTTAAATCCAAGTAAATAGGGACTTTCGAACTCACATAAAACTCAACATTTATGTTGTAAAACTATACAAATTGGTGACATCGTATATTTATACTTATATTTAGGGCAAAAAATATCCAAGTTAATACTGCTTAATCCATTTTTGAGTAATTAATCTCAAATGTGAATCGAAACACAAATATATAAGGTTTTTCCCAAGGTTGAACACAATGTATTAAAAAAAAAATCACTGAACTTTAAAAGTATTATAATATTTAAAATAGATAATTTTTTTAATTTTTCCTAGCCTTTTCCAAAACCTATTCTATATTCTATTTCTATCTTCTATATTTATATTATATATTATTATTTATATTTCTATCCGCAATGAGTTGTTTGTTGACTTTTCCATGTTACTTTCCCAAACTTTTAGTCCCTTTGTCTCACTGTAAATGCCCGGAGTACTTGCTTGACAATGAAGATAGCCTAATTTAGCCGAAACTCGATTGGTTCAGGAGGGTGCACTTAGTTCTACTAATATATTTTTCTGCAAAGTTGGACAGAAACAGCATTAGCTTCTTACTAATAGGAAACACTAATGTTTCGAGAATTTGTTTATTGTCACAATTTAGACTCAACTTCAGGGTGGCGTTTCCACTCCCAACCATCGGTATTAAAAAAATTTAACAGTGAATTTATTGCGAAACACGTTTTTACCTTTTGTCCTTTTGCCGAGAATGCCAAGGTCGCCACATTTATAAGCCATTTCAAAACGATTTTAATTATCCGCGGCGCGAAAGCGAAAGTAGCAGCGTATTATCAAAAAGAAGTTCACGCTCATCCTCGTACGAACTAAAATAATCGTTAAATGTTCAACGGTTTTGCAGGAATGAAAATAGAGATAAACATTTGGTTAGAAAATATTTATAAATATTTTAAAATGTGACTATAGAATTTTTCAACGCTATTGTATTTAACTAACATGTCACTTTTCCGAGAAAATAAGTAACTCCATTGATTGGTAAAATAATATCGAAATAAAAATAAACTTTATAATCTTCAATTTCAAAAAAATATCTTTTCTTTTCCCTGCTCTAAAATATCCGTTGCGCATTGATCAGACGAACGTCAGTTTTATGAAGCACTGTCGCGAGCCAATTCGAACATTTCCAGTATTTTGGTCACGAGTTTGTGTGCAGAGACTATGCCTGAAAAAAACTTAATAGTTTATATGTTGCCATATTAATATTCTTTCTTAAATATATATTACTCATATATTACGTAGTACAATAGATTCTTTCAATTTTGCTTAGCATATGTATAGCAAAAATTTTTTATATCGAATATCGTTTCAATATCATAAGTTTCAGTTGGGCAGTAGACTCGAAAGGAATGTTTGTCTAACAAAAATGAATAATTCGTTTCATAAAGTTAAAACGAATGGACTCATACCGATATGTTTTAAAAGAAAAATTTAAGTCTAACAGATATTTATTTACTTAAACTATTAATTTACATACATAAAAAGAAACAAAATTTTCAAACAAGATTTGACATTCATTGTCACTCGACAAGAAAGAAAGATAAGTTTCAGTTAAAAAAATTAATAACTAATGCTATAAAAAATCACATTCTCGTTCCAAGCAAACATAATACAATATGCTTGCCGCTGAAATTACAGATGTAAACCAAAAGAAATTCAAAAAGTATTTAAAATCTTTACTAACCACATATGTTTTTTATATTTATAATTTTTAAAAAGACTACTAACGCGTTTATAAACTTCTCCCGACATTCATTTATTAAACACTCACTCCGCTCGTGCCTAAAGGAACTCGTAACTAAATTATATATGTAAAGTTTTCTTCAGATATCAATTCATATTGTACTGAATAGTACAATATAATATATAATATTTACAATGTTTCTTATCAAATGTATTCCAAAAATTTTTCAAATAAATATAATTTAAGAGCGTTTCAATAACGACAGATAGGTATAACCATTATACAAAGTTACCCTTATTTTTTGTCACCAATCTAAAATAACTAACTTATACAGTGATTATACACATCGATCTTAATTTTTTTCTTGCAGTAAACAGAAAATATAAAGGGTGGATCAAATGTCGATACCAATTTTCTTTTTTTAAATAGAAAACATTCCAATTCCAACAAATCCATTTTCAAAGTCTGTGTCAAATTTCACGCATGTTTCATGTAGAATATCCTGTACGATATAAGGACGGCTACAAAATTTGATAAAACAAGCCGTTAATATCTGGAGCAGTGGACTTGCTTTCTTACCAAAGAAATAGATGGATGTATTTATTCAAAAGCAATATATTGACTGTAATAAAGTTACCGAAGTTTTTGACGATATTTTCATTAATTCTTAATTACATTATATCACAAAAAATAACGGAATGGAACACAAAAACCCGTTGGCAAGTATTCAAACACATTCGCACCAACAATCTTCAGCATGAAAACTTTTCTATTGTAATTGATTATATGAAATGAATGAATGTAATATACGGGCAAATGCTCCAGTAGAAAGAGTATTTTCTATTATGAACAAATTGTGGACATCTGAAAAAAAAACAGTTACAAATTTCCGCCCTCAAGGCGATGTTGAAATTAAGGTGAATATAAGAAAAACGTGTCAAGAGTTTCATTCTTACTTGAAATCGTCAACAGCTCTATTGAAGCAAATTTGTGTTTATAAATATATGTATAATATGTAATGTAATGTATGTAAATATATGTATAAATATAACCAAATATTTTGATTCGTAACTTGTAGGCCAACTAACTTTTTCTTAATAAATAACTTTAAAAAAGAGTTGTTTTTTTCATTGACTACCTATGATTTGACTTAAATAAACCAATATTTCGTTTTGAGTCAAAAAATAAATGGTCACATTTCCTATCTTACCTTTTGTAAGCAAAAGAATACAACACATAATTGAAAAAAAATGAAACCCACAGAATTGAAATTTTAATTGTAATTAATTAAATCTTATTTTATTAAGTTTATAATTTGTTTAAGGCAAAAGAACCAGAGAGACCGATTATAAGATTCACAATGGCATGGAAAAGATCGGCTACGGCCAGTTCGTCTAATGAGAACACAAGATTAAATATTTTATTAGAAATTGAGGATAATCCCCATCGTGCATCTTCTGAAATAATTTCGAATAATGATATTAGGCGCATACTATACTTTTGTGAAACTATGATGCAAATGTGCAACTTAAATCCATTTTTTCATCGTTAGATAGTATTTAGCAATGAACTAGGTTTTTTAAATAAACAAAATTGTAAATGTTGGAGTATAAATAATCCCCGATGGATTAAATAAATGTTGGGAAGGGATTTTGAATAATAAAATTATTTCACCTTATTTCGTGGATATCAATATCTTAATTTGTACTCTCGCAGTTTCTTTCCCACATTCAAATGAACCTGATATACTATATAGACAGATTTGGTTTGAACAGGGTGGTGCTCCTCCACATTTTGCTCCACAAGTGCGTCGATATTTAAATGCGATTTTTCCCAAACAATGTGTTGGCTGAAGGGAATTAATAGAATGGACTGCAAGATCTCGACGGAATTTTTAAAACCACAAAATTGTGATGATTTAAAATTAGATGCAAAATAGGGCTCAATTAATGAAAATATCCTGAGTAATGTTTTGGAAGGGTTGTTAAAGCAGTTAAGGGTGAGCATGTTCTACACCTAATACAAAAATTTCTTTTACACGCCCTGCTTCGATCAATTTTTTTCTCAATTTTACTCGCTGTGGATCTTGTAAAAGGTCTTTCTGGATATTTGCGTTAAGCAAATTACAAACTTCAGAGTTCTCGTTTTGTCACCATATCCAATAAAAATTAAAATTTCAGTTCTCTGAACTTCATTTGTTTACTACCAGAAATACTCATAAAAAGTAAGAGATGATATAAATAATATGCTAACTTTCTACTTTTACATTTCTACATCTACTTTTTATCGCATCCTGTATATTTTCTAGTTACTACAAAAAATGCGTAAGAAAAAATTTTCATTTTTAAATGAATTTGTTCCATATTTTATATTAATATTTATTTTCATTGTATAATTGATATCCACACTAAATAAATGAAATAAAATATTAAGGTATCATTAATCCTTTAAGTAAAAATTAGCAGTTTTGCAAAATATACTTATAACATTTTCAAATTTTGTAATGTAGGCTGCTACATTTAATTACTAAAAACTGATCTTAGCCCTTGAGCCTGCATACATAATCAGAAACGTTTCTTTAAAAACAAGAATCCTTTGTCTTTAACTGATTTTCGTAAATCCAGCTTCTGACAAAGATGATCGTGGCATCCTGTACAACATAAAGTAAACTGTATAATGTGAATGCATAAAAGTCTCCATTTCTTTTAGGAATATTTGCATACCTGAACTACTTAACCCCAAAGAAAAGGTTAGAGATCTTGGAATTGCTGGTCAACGGTCTAAAACGATTGGAATACAGGGGCTATGACTCTGCAGGTATGCGAACTGCCTTATCCGTTTTCGGTAACACTGATTGACCCTTTTTTTAAGGCATCGCGGTGGATTCTTCAGATGAGACGGCCATCGCCCTCATCAAGCAATGCGGCAAGGTCGCCGTACTAGAAGAGGCGATTAAACATGGTACCTCGAAACATTTTCGTCAGCTGTCTCAATCCTAACAAGTGACACCGTTAGTTGCAGAGAAGCTAAATTTCGACGCGTTATTGGAAACGCACTGCGGCATCGCACACACCCGTTGGGCGACTCACGGAGTCCCCAACGAGATCAACTCCCACCCCCAACGTTCAGACGAACACAATTCTTTCGTGGTTGTTCACAACGGAATCGTTACCAACTACAAGGAGGTCAAGACGTTTCTAGAGCAGAAAGGGTTCCGGTTTGAAAGCGAAACCGATACCGAGATCATTGCGAAACTGATTTACCATTTCTATCAGAAACATCCGAATTTTTCGTTTAGAGAGCTTGTAGAGAATGTGGTTCAGCAATTGGTAAGTAATAAGCAAAGCGGTTAAATAATTATTTACATACCTTCCCCAAATGTACAGTAGATATCGGTTAGAACGGCATCTTTGGGACCTAGAACATTACGTCATTACAACACTGGTCAAAATTATAATATAAGAAAAACATACATATGCACAGTATCGGACAAAAATACTGGAATGATGTCCTAAATAAGTATTGGTATGAGCAATCAACGACTATTGACAAATATGCCACATGCATTAAAAATAAAAAACCAACTTCCTGTTTACCGCGACAAAATTAAAGCTTCTAACCTGCTTAATATTAAAGTGACAAATTACTAATTGGAAGTCAGTATTTGGTCCACCCTTTATTCACAATAATCGGCTAGCATCTTTTTGGCACCGAGCAGATCAGATTTGAATTTTTTTCATGGCTTGCAAGTATTTTGGATTTCTTGAATTTTTTTAGAGCGAATTTTTTTTTAACGATCTTTCATAGGTTCTCTGTCGGGTTTAAATCCGGCATTGCCCATTCAGCATATGGCAGTCTAACTTCTTTTATAGCATTATATGAAAGTTGATCCAATTTAGTATCAATTTTATGAATAGGGCCTATTCGATAGGATTATTTGCTTGGCTTCTTCCAGGAAGTGCCGCTTTCACCAAACGACGTTGGATGGTTCTCGAAGGCACCCCTTCTGTACCCAATTCTGCTAAAATCTGACTTGCAGATAACCGTGGACAGCTTTGATTAATGTATTCGTATTCGTAGTTTTTTTTTCTCCTCGCTTCAAGTTTATAATCCTTCCACGGGGCCGAAAACTTTGTATTAGTTTTGAAACAACTTGTTTTGTCACCCTAATGGTTCCTTTATTGTTTTTTGTGGTATTCCAGCTTTATAGGCTTCTATAATAATATTTTTTTCTTTAAGATGAACAGAATAATGTATCCCACGAGGCATCTGACACTATTAGGTTGTACCGAAAAACGTTATCTTCAATGGGTTATTAGCCAACAGAAAATAAAGCAGTCATTTTAATTTTGTCTTGAATGAATGAATTTTTGACATCATTTTCTGGTTCGTTGTGGAAAGAAAAATATTTTCTAATGTATTGGATTGCGTTTAGAGCTCCTTTAGCTGTTGGTGGATCTTCTACAATATTTTCATTATCATCTTGATATTGACGAAATTTCTTCAATCGTCTTCAGCAGGGATATCATTTTGGGTCTTTCGAAAATGATTTTTGGGGCTGAGATATCACCTTCATCTAAAGGTTTGAGAATAGCTGTGGTGCTGACTTAACTTCATTGCCTTTAAATTTTGTACAAGCAGAATCTTTCTCTTTTGTGCAGTAAACTTTAAATCATTTTTTTCTAACAGTGCACCTTTCATCCACGCTTTTCTGTTGTTCTCATATGTCATGGGCAAAGTCTTTATGTTTCTCAAATGTATTTTTCGCCTTACTAATAACGATTGATTTTAACCTTTCTGTCTCTGTCATCTATGCTGTTAGTAGGAGAGTTATTCGATCCTTTTGAAAAATAGATCAGTTTCATCTATATTGAATATATCGCTATCTTGGTATCCTTCTCTGATTTTAGGTCAAACGTTTTTTAACCAATTATCACGGACAGTCTCGAAAACGGCAGTCGCTTCACCTGAAAATTTCCCCCAAGACATAGAGGGCCGTTTGCGCTTTTTTTGTAGATAACCAACTGAACACTTGAAATTTTTGCACTACAATTTTTGAAGCTGGTTCGTTGGCTTGAAACTGGTCCATTAATGGGCATGTTGTGACTTCTCTGATTTTTGATCCACTTCAGTAAAGACTGGTCAATGGTCGATTTTTTACCGTGTTCTCCCAATTGTTGCAATAGTAGAATGAGAAACCTGATGTAAACGGGGGTTAAAAATGATTTGTACATTTATAGATTAAGTGTTTAAACTTCCGTCTAAAGCAGCTGCTATGGCAGATTCTTCTCTACGCTGAACACTTTACTTGACACTTCCTTTTTTGAGCGTTCTCTGTTGCGCCTTTTAGTTCACAGCACGTTGATAACTTTAAGCTTCGAAGAATTACTGACATCAACTGTCAACGCTATGCGGGTAAGTAGGTTGCATATTAGAAGGCTGGACAATTTTCGCCGTTACACCCAATATGACGTTATTTCGTCGACTAGGTTCTTTTAAATATTTTTGAATATTCGGAAGCGAAATGGAAGTTACACTTACAAGCGAAACTAAATGTCAAATAAAAAGTACAGACTGATTTATCTAAATTTCAAAGTGAGCTTATTAGGTGTCAGATATTAATGTGCCGAGAATTGCATAATTAAGATTTAACATATTTCGTTGTACTTCAGTTGAGAAATATCCGATTTACATGAACTTGTCACTTAACACTGCTCACTTGACGAATCGATTTACAATTTGGCAGCTAAGCACTAGCAATAAACTAACCAAAGTGTAAATTAATAAAGTAAACTCAAGTGTTTTTTCTGGTTTAAAATATTGTGGGTGGTATGAAGACTACAATAATAATAAATAATAAATTTGTCTTTATCATTGAAATCAGAACAAACTATTTTTGGGATTAAAAACACAATATGGTCTCTAGAAGAGAAAATAAAGGTGATGTCAGCAGTCCAAAGAAATCTGAAAGCCTGTAATTAAAAAATAATATCCATGAAAATGGGCTTTTGATTTTGTGCTACCTTACCAAATAACGCCAGTTTTAAAAGTTACGTTTTCTTCGATTCTGTTCTTCTAGCTTTTGATCTATTTAACCCATTTTCTTTATTGATATCCTTCATTCATTTTTGATCACATGATTTGACGAAGCATGCATAATTTTTTATTAAATAGTTGCCTAGTGGCAGCACGCTGACTATAAAAATTAAAAAGATATTTTATTACACTTATGTAATAGTGTTATATGCAACAAGTTTCAAAAATATATTCAATGCGTGGCGTACGACAAACGTCAAAATACCATGACTAAATTCTGCGGAAAACATTCGATCGCTCCCAACCTCGTGATTACAGTAACGGACAGGTCAGAAGTGACTGGTGAGCTTAGGCAACCAAGCTGACGCTTGCAGCATGCTTGATTAGTGCATAATTGAGTAGGGAGTAGAAAAATGTATTTTTTAAATTGAAAATATTAAAATTTTTTAAAAATCGCTAAACATTGAAACCTTTGTTGTTATCGAACAGAAAAATATGACAAAGCGTGAAAATTGAAAATATACATTTTTAAATTAAAATTCCTTTATAAAAATGGCAATTTTTCAAATTTTGATAGTTTCAAGTGTTAAGTTGTCACTTTATGATGTATGGATGTCAGATAACAGACATTCTATAACGAATTTAATCAAATATTTCAATAGGTAATGGAACCGGATAGATAGCGTGAAAAAGAAGGGGAAACGTAGTTTACTTTTTTGAAGTTTCTGTTGCTCTCGCTAAATTAAAAAAATACTCCGAATTTTCCAACTAACCAAAACCAAATTATATTGTAACAAGATTTTATCCAAATATTTACTGCACTGCAAATTTATGTTGCGTTGAACATGACTAATTAAAATTATATTTTTTCTAGAGCTCTATAATAGGTGATTGTTTGATTTTCTTATCTGTTAATTATTATTTACTGTGTAGATAACATTCTTCTTTTGGGACACATTACAGGCATGTGTTGCATTTTTTATTTTGTATTTTATAATAGGCGACATTGGGAAAATGTAAATATAAAATGTCAGTATCAATCCAAAAGCCAATATGTTATCATAATATCAAATATAAATACAACAGATTCATTTCAAATTAGACAGGTGTGTGGGTTAAGCATATATTTTATTTTATGTTTAAATAAATATTTTCCTCAATTTTTAAACAATTTGGATCAGTACAAGGAACTTAACGGACTTACTGTCGAATACGCGATAACATTTTTTAGGGATTGATAAAATATACCCGATTTCTCAAAAACAATTTGCAAACACAATTGGGACAGACCGGTAGTGTCAAATATTTTAAAGTAATATAACGTTATACATATTTGGTACGGGCTATTTATGTCCTTCGCATATTATATTAAAACCACTGCATCGAATTAAAAGATAAGAAAGTCTTCTTAGACAGTCCCGCCCGATGTCTTTTATAGCTTTAAGGTCAAATAAAATGAATAGCAACATAGCTTAACAACAAACAACAAGAATAAGCGGTTTTATTTTTATAACTTTGGTTACTTTTTTTTAATAGTTTTGTGAAATTGTCGAGATATGTTTTCATACAAACACAAAATTTTCTCTATCAAAAAAGTTACACCGATTTCTTACAAATGCAAATTTTATCATTACACTGACATTCGTTTTGGTTAGTTGAAAACGGGGAGTGCCCTTTTAGAAGCGCCCCAATTTTTTTGGGCCGGAGTAGCAATGTAAGGTCGATTAAGGAACACAAAATCAGACATAACTTCAAACCTAAAAACGGCGTGCTATCAGAGTGTGAGGTTATGTCTTTCCTAAGAAATACAAAATTCCAGGAGGGAGCATTCGCGCTTTGCTTCAAGTCCAAGTACTTCCCTGGCGAATGCGTGGCGACAAGACGGGGTTCGCCCTTATTGGTCGGTATAAAGACCAAAACGAGACTAGCCACGGACCATGTGCCCATATTATACGGAAAGGGTAAGAACGCTTCTGTTGCACTCTTGCTCTCATTTTATTACCAAGTCTTGGTAGTTCTGTGTGGGACAAAACTTTAAAAATTTAGGTGGGTTGGGTGTCTCCTTTTAATTTTGTAGTTTTGGCAGTTCTGTTAAAATGCATGATTATGTTTAGAACGTGCTTTGTAAACTTACTAACATATATGTTTCTTTACTAGATTGTAATAACATTTCTGTTATATTGTGATAATTTACGCCAATAATCACTATATTATCCATAATATTGTCATTGTAAATAACATTTCTGACAAGTCTGTGTATTGATCCTTTTTTGTATTTCTGATGTTTATTAATTAACCAATTGTTTGTTTTGGTACTTTGTTCCTTCTTGCGGACTGTGGCAATCGTAGACGAACCTCCAATCTCACCAAAAGGTATATATAATTATTTCCTATGCTAATACTACTGGGTACTGGATTGTCTTATTTATATTATTTCGTTCATTTCAGTGAAACCTTATCTATCGTTTTTAAAAATACGGAATTTGCGGTTGTGCAATATGCAAATGTCACCGTAATGTAAATCGCGATTTTGATGTTTAAAGCGACTCGAGGGAAATGAACGAAATCATAATATAACGCTTTTTCTGTTTAAATTTATCGGCACGTTTATTGACTATCTTTTGTAACATTGTAATATGTTGAAGTAAAGTGCAAATTTTAAAAGGATTTACCATACATTCCCAAGGATTTACCATACATTCCCGGATAGTATTCCCAAATTTTCCACAAATTTAAGACTCGTGTGTATGATACCTTAAGATGCATTGCCGCGTAATCGAAAAATTAAGATAAACGCTTTATCTAATTACTTATAGTATTGACCATATATATACTAATAATTGAATGTGACCGTTGCTGTTGTTTGTCACCTAAAAATTTATTTATTCCTGGGTTATCACAAACAGATAAACATCCATTATATTGTCGTGTTAACTGCAGATTTAAAACATTGATAAACGCCAAATGCAAATGCAAATATTAGAAAAAACGTGGTTGTACTTGTTTTGTTTAGTCGCTTTTTCAACTTTATTAAAGGGTTAAAAATACGAAAATATTTGAACATTACCTACTAGTTTTCCTTCCTATTTGTTTTATAAACGAACCCATTAGTAAAGTTGAATTTGTTTATTTTTAGTTTGTTATTTTCTTTTTTAATGTTTGGTTTGTTTTTTTTTCGTTTTATTTTCCCGGGGACCCTTGCAGCCGAAACAGACCCAAATCCAGGTAGTAATCTTTTACTATTTATCCATTCTTTATTATTTTACTTACATCGCTTTTAAGCTTGGCCTCCATATTTGTGGTATTGGGACTTACAGTATTTGGGGGTGAATGACACACATTTCTAATGTCTAAGGTAAGTGGAGCGGCTTCAGGAATTTGGTTATTTGCTTTTTCTTTTTTTTTACTATATTAATTTAAAAAATGGTGAAGGCAATCATGTACTGAAATAAATACTGTAACGTTAAATTAATACTATATAACAATGATGAGTATTCTAATGTATGAGATGACTTTTTATCTTACACAATGAAATAATGCTTCGGAGAGTCTATTTTATGTTTATTCTGTTATAATAATACTAATAGCAATATTATGTAAACTAGACTGTAAATCGTATAAATAATTAAGAAATGTTTCCGAGTTTAGACCTATATTATTTTCTGTGCAGTTAAAACAAAAAAGTGCCTATTTTTTCGATGTGTCGATGTGTCCTAAAAAAATTAAAAAAAATCATCTCCTACATTAATGGAGAATTTTGTGCTGTGTAGGCTTTACGACATAATCTATATTTATCTGCGGTGTGTGGATATCAGACAATGCTTCTGCAGGTAAAATCTTTTATGCGATATTATATATATTATATATATACGTTCATATACAGTAAAACGTAAAAATTCGAAAGTTTCATCTAAACTTATAGGTTTTAAGGATTTTTTTTTAAATAATTAAAAAAAAAAGTTTTACACAAAAGTTCTTTTTCTCTCATCAATGCTATAGAGCATCTAAAAATATATGCTTCCTTGAAAAATAACGAAGTTGACCTTCATATGACCTGAAGTCGAGTGGAAGCTACGTCATATTATTTTAATTAATAGTTTTTTTGATAAATACACAAGGTAGGCCGTTAGATGATGCAAGCTTAAAGCTGGGACCCAATGTATATTTAATAAATTAATTAAACAAGCGGGTATACAAATTTGAATTACATACAGTGCATTCCATATTAAAAAATCACCAACCTCTCAAAATTTGACATTTACAAACAAAAATTACATTTTTAACAAAAATGTATTTAAATTGAAACCTACCTATAAAGTCCAAGGAACGATGATTCCACTTTATGACGCTAGAAAAATTCATCGAGGTGGTGGCCCAATTGTTCTCAAAATAATGTTCATATTAATTGGTGACTAATTTTAGAACACAGACCACACGGTCGGAACGAATACCCCACTCTGCCCAGGACCGGTTCCACTTCTGAATTTGAGCCCTTGGAAGACAAACAGGTGGAATATTTCTTTGCATCTGACGCATCTGCCATTATCGAGCACACCAACCGCGTTATCTATTTCGAGGTACGCAATAGAAACTAATGCGGAAACTGTTTAAATTCTCGTATCGTTTAGGACGACGATGTGGCGGCTGTTAGAAACGGAGTCCTCAGTATTCATAGGGTTAGACGCGGCGGAGACGACCCTAACACTCGTGAAATCACTACCCTGAAAATGGAACTGCAGCAGATCATGAAAGGCAACTACGACTACTTTATGCAAAAAGAGATCTTTGAACAGCCCGAATCGGTTGTCAACACCATGAGGGGACGTGTCAACTTTGAAACGGGGGTGAGTGTTACATATTGCTTTCCGATTTATAGAAATAACAATAATAGAATTGATACGATAATTATTAACCAAAGTAATTTCAAATTAAAAATGAGAAAATTTACGATGCTAGATAATGCACTGGGCGAGAGGTTAGAGGTTAATGACGTCAGTGCTCATATTAGTTTGCTAGACATTTGTTAGTGTATACTACCCAAAACTATTTTTGATCATTGTAGACTGTTACTTTGGGCGGTATCAAAGAACACATCCCAGAAATTAAACGATGCAGAAGACTGATGTTAATCGGTTGTGGCACAAGCTACCACAGCGCTATCGCTACCCGCCAATTGCTCGAAGAGCTCACAGAATTGCCCGTCATGGTGGAATTGGCCAGTGACTTTTTGGACAGAACGACACCCGTGTTTAGAGACGACGTCTGTTTCTTTATCTCTCAGTCGGGCGAAACAGCCGACACCTTGATGGCGCTGAGGTACTGCAAGCAACGCGGTGCCCTCATAGTCGGAATAACCAATACCGTGGGAAGCTCAATTTGTCGAGAGTCGCACTGTGGGGTCCACATAAACGCCGGACCGGAGATCGGTGTTGCTTCCACCAAAGCCTACACCAGTCAATTCATATCTTTGGTTATGTTCGCCTTGGTGATGAGCGAGGATAGATTGTCGCTGCGTAAAAGGCGGGAAAAGATCATCGAGGGTCTGAGAAACTTGCAAGAGCAAATTCGAATCGTGCTCAAACTGGATCAGAAAGTAAATGCACTAGCCGAGGAGCTATACAATAAGAAGTCACTACTTATTATGGGCAGAGGATTTAATTTTGCCACTTGCTTGGAAGGAGCCTTGGTAAGTAGAGAAGCTAGTAGTATAACATCACATCAGCTAACAATTATAGCATCCAAAGTGAATTTTTTCTTTATGAACATTTTTAACATTAATAGTATAGGGATGAGGTTATAATAATGGTGGAAAGACGCAAAGATTAACAATTAAGCTATGTACATTTTGTAAATTATGCCATTGAAAGTAGGTGGAGGCTGAGCATAGTGTCTCTGATGAATGATGCAGCTGTTTAATTCACATCCTGCTATAATTTTTGAAAGTGGTCATTGCAAAGTAAACATTTCTACAATGAAATAGCTTCTTAAGTTATGACCAATACCTTATACAGAGGTTTCTTTGGTAGACAGCCGGCAATATTTCACGAAAACTGGTTCTTTTCTTCTGTTATCACATGGTTTTTTAGAAAACCAAATATAATATACGTATCCATGCCCAGTTAAAATAATTTGAAAAATCTGACCAGTTAACAGGTCGAGAGAGACTCAAAATATGAATCCGCTGCTGTTACCACACCTCTTTTAGTAACACTTTGAGCACCTTAGGCTTGTTTTGCAATATTGTTCACGATTGATACTCCGTTACTTTACACCGGGTTTTTCGGAATTCACAACATATTTATCTGTTAAAATAACGTCTGTTCTTTATATAAACACGTCAAAATTTATAAAAATATTCTTTAAGTTGATTTTAATAGTCTCTTACGTCTGCAAGTAAGCTTGTCCAATTTTTTGAAAATCAAGTTTTTAGTAATTAATAAAAAATCGATATTTCGGAAAGTCCCGAACAAAGCTACAGAAAAAACGGAAGGAACATAACAGTTTCATTTTTTATTGTTTCAAAACATAAGTGGCGTACGTCATGACGACAAATAAGCGTGCCAAATCTTGTCAAAATCAGCTATAAGGTTTTTGAGTAGTTAATTAAAAAGCGATATTTTATAGGAACCTTGAAAACAAAGCGTATAATACAGAAGGTCAGGAAATAACAGGGAGTGACTTTAGAAAACAAAATAAGAAAAAAGTACCTACATTTAAACATATTTAATTTAATTTAATTCATTGCAATTTTGCAGAGGGCAGCACAAAATAATGAAATGTGATTTGCTTAAGACATTTCGTTCTGGACTTTAGAGAGTTATTGCGGTATTTTTTTTTATATGTTTTTATTTTTTTTTAATTAATTTCAGGATTTCAAGGCAAAAAAGCAAAAGCAAGCAAAAAAAGTAGACGTCATTGCACAGAAATTGAATTTATTGAGAAGTAGTTATTATAATGTGGCTAGGTACCCCCTTTACGAGTCGCCCTTACTAGTATATTTAATAATATACAATACAATTTTGACATTTCAACCTATTTAAGTAAATCTAATTTCAAAGTTCTATCTGTACACTTTTTAGTCCGCTTTGTAAGTACGTTTCAGGACACATTCTTATGATTTTTTTCCCTATTTTTAAAATTATTTCCATAACATTTCTAGCCTCTCTGACACCAAAGTAAGTAATTTTAAACTTTCAGAAAGTCAAGGAGTTAACTTACATGCACAGTGAAGGTATCATGGCAGGTGAACTTAAACACGGACCATTGGCATTGATTGATAACACCATGCCGGTCATGATGATCGTCATGAGAGATCCCGTTTACACCAAATGCATGAACGCGCTTCAGCAGGTCAAATCACGTGACGGAGATCCGATTTTGATATGCGAAGAGGGGGACGCAGAGACGATCGCGTTCGCCAGCCGCCATCTGGAGATACCCAAGACTGTCGATTGTCTGCAAGGCATTTTAACTGTCATTCCCTTGCAACTGTTGTCATTTCACATCGCCGTCAAGCGCAATTGCAACGTGGATTGTCCGCGAAACTTGGCTAAAAGTGTGACCGTGGAATAAAATGTGAGTTTTAACCTGAAACACTAATATTAATAGTTAATACAAACTCAGAGATGATGATGATAGTGGTATTCAAAGTATGCTAGGTGACGTGCATATAAAGCTTGCAGGTAATTGTCTGAAATAAATGTTGAATGTTACTTAACCTCAAATTCGTCCCCACTTCTCCGGTAATCAAATAATAACCTGTTGCGTTCCATTGCACGCTGTATTTTTTCATGTCAATCCTTTACATCTAGATTGCTTTTTTGCAATTTGCCAAACTCTTTATTAATAGCACTTTTTTCTGTTTTCTTAAATTTTAAAAAATATACAGTCGAAACTCTATATAGCGACATTGAAGGGACTGCTTTTTTTTTCATTATAAAGAATTATAGGCACTTAAAAAATAATAATACTCATATGTGTTCTGTAGTATTTAATTATTTTATATAGATATTTTAACACCTACTTAGGAACATTTTATATAAATATTTAAGAACTACATTTAATGTTTCAAATAATCGGTCATTTTCTTTTGAATTTTTTTAATATGCCAATATGCATCTCATACTTTGGCTTGTATTTTCACCATTTCTTCGAGAGGAGCATTTTCCCCATGATAGATAAAAAATTTTTCTAGCAGCTTAACGGAATATAGGGCTTGTTGATTGGTTGGTGGTGGTGCCAGGTCAACTTCTTCATCTTCTTCTTCCTCTTGGTGCTCTTCCTCACCTTTTCTTGCTTGTTGTAATATAGCTTCCTCTGTCAAGTCTGCTGTTGTAGGCAAATCATGATCTATCACCATAAAATCTTGCAACTCCTCACTTGTAAACGTAATTGTTGTTTGAAACTGGTTTATCCACTCGCTTAGTGGCTGATCATCTTCCAAGTCCTGTTCGAATTCTGTCTCGGTAATAAGCCCTGCATGAAGATAGGAGTGTGATAAGAATTTTATCTGGCATCATTCTGGAAAAAATACCATTTTCGTCAGCATTAGAAATGTCGTCAGAAGGGTACTTTTCTGCTAGTTTTGGCCACGTCTTCTCCAGCCAATCGTTAGTGATGTTTCTGTCGACATCGCTGGGTTCGCCACTTATCTGTCCATAATTTATACCACGTCTGTGTTTGAACTACCCCAACCATCCTTTCGAAGCCCTGAAATCGATAATGCCAAGCTGTTCGTCAACCTTTTCTGCTTTTAATTTTATGATGGGTCCAGAGAGTGGTACATGTTTAAGACGTTGCTGTTGGAACCACTGTAACATTGACCGATCCAGTCGACGGTGTAAGTCCGTATCGACGTCCCACATCACTTTTCTTTTCTCCCCGTTCTATCTCCCAAATTAAAGCAACTTTATCATTTAGAGATAAAATTTTTCGCTTACTTGCCATGCTCGCCGTATTCACTAACTCAAATTAGAACTGATTGAAACAATGGTGTGCTTTTATACATACCGATAAAGGCATTAACATAATCGCTTATTACGAGAAAAACATTTAGGACGACCAGGTTCTCGGTAATTAGATTATTAGGGTAAGAGACTCTACTAATTACAAGTCGGCCTACATTCCTTACTTTGTTACCTGATGTGCCCTTTTTTCTTTTGGTATAGAGAGTGAGAAATTCGTTATACACAGTGGATTAATACATAGCTTTGTATGTAGACCTAATAGTATAACAAATTTTGTTCGGAATACAGAGTTTTACTTTATACAGAGTTTCGCTATAGGGAGTTTGCACTGTATTTCTATAATGCATCTTATTAAATAACCTTTCTTAATTCAATTTATAATTGTTTTTAAATAGTTAACCTACCAGTTGGAAGAGTTAGAGCAAGTTTTGTTACAACAAATTGATGAAATAATTGTACATTTTAGCATTATACAGGGTCCATACTGTGAACACAGATTCGGAAATTTGAACAGAACGGATTTTTTAGAAGTAAAGAAACTTTTTACTTTTCTTTGCAGATCACAGGCAGTGCATGGATGATATATGAAATCAGCACCAACATTTTGTATTTTTAAAATAAGTGATTGTGTAAAATCTTCTCTAAAAGATACCAAGATGTTGCAATACTGTAATAGTGTGTGTATAAAGTATGCCACCCTTTTAAACCATTAGGAACCATGTTAACATTTTAAGAATGTGATAAATATGTTTACTAAATTTTTAGATTAAATTACTCAATTTTCTTAATTATATGATGAAAATTTGCACTCGATATCTTTAATGATTCAAAAAATAAGAGTGGAAAAGGACTTCCTTTATACACCTATATGAGTTTATAACTGTTAGAAATATTAGCGGAGAGAAAGATTGATTACATTGGTGTCTTTCAGAAAAGCGGTTTATATGGTTGAGGTGCAATATTAATTATTAACTTTATTTTAAAGTAGTTAATGAAGCTAAATATGAACAGCCAAACGCTCATTATCCGAAATACTTGTTAAATCCCATTCCAAAAATAAAGATGACATTGTTTTGGGTTTCTATTGAGCTGTTTGTATTAAAAATGTTTTGTATATACATATTTTTATATTTGTATTTGTTCTCGATTTTTATATGTAAAATCTGTTTAAAATTAAATAAATATATATTTTTATCATATTAGTATTGCAAATGATTTCAAAAGCTTTGTTTATTCACCGTTGGTGGCGCTGCCGGCAGTGAACAAATAAATGTGGCTCTAAGGAAGTATTTCATGTTTAAATTTTACCTTCGAAGGTTTGGTTCCCATTGTTTTCAATTGTGAAGCGGTTCCTCTTTGCAAGGTCTATCGAGTACAGGATAAGCAAACCATACAGTAAATCTCATTGGTTTCAAAAGTTGGTTTAAAAATTATTTGTATATAGTATACAGAGTGGCTTAAAAAAGCGCGACGAATAAAACATACATTTTTTAAAATGGAACACCGTGTTTAGTGTTTTTTTTTTTAATCTTTTCTTGGACCTTCCTTATCATAAACGGTGTTACTCCATATCTTCTGGTGTTGTAGGGCTATTTATTATATATTTTATATATATATTGTAGAAAAATATAGCGGCGAAAGCCGCATGACCGAAGGGGCCATCGAATGAATCCACGTCCAGTGATCCAGTTCTGTTTGTAATGATTGTTTAAAAATTCTCGAACTTCTCGATGGTAATGCGGAGAAGCTGCATCTTGCTGAAACCACATTTGTCGGATTTCCATGTTTTCAACTGCTTGAAGAAAATCATTCGGCAAAAAGTTAAAATATCTAGCCCGGAAGTGATTTCGCGTAAAATATATGGTCCAATAACTTTAAAGTTTTTTACTCCACACCACACATTAAGTGACTAATGGTTTTGGTTTTGCACTTCTCATGGCCAGAATGGATTAATTTTTAAATAATAACGCACATTATGATAATTGACTGCACCATTACTGAGAAAACATTATTTTGGACAAAAAATTTGTATCGGCCTCTATTGTTCCATTTATAACGGCGCAGAAGTGTACCTTTTGTTCAAAATCACTGTCTGTTCTTGGTGTAGTTCCATATAAAAGAGATGATACTTGTGTTTTATAGTGGTGCGACTAGCGGTATCACATAAGCTTGAGATTGTCTGGTTTGGTCAAGGTAGTATTTTTTCCGCCTCGCCTGCCCGATAAATAATATCAAATAATTCAGAAAAATCCATACTTAACATTTTTTTAATCTACAACACAAGAAGTTAAGTACTAATATCTTTCAGAAAAAATAGTAATATATATGGTGTGCCATTTAAAAAGCTCGAGATTTTTCAATTTAAAATGATCTAAATATATTCTTTTACTTTGAACACCTTGTCGCATCTAATTCAACTTCAGTTGCATAAATATTTTACGTCAGAGATCGTAAAATAAATATGCAAAAATATAAAGGGGGGGTGGGGGGCTGATGGCGAGCGAGGAGACCTAGAATTAGACTTCTCGCACATATTAAACGAATGCGCAATACAGTGCTTAAAACAATTGAATAATTTACTCACTTAATTGATTATGTACCAGTGCTGCTATAAAGCCAGACTATTCTCGCTAAATCGTATTCCGTTCTCTTTGGAAAAATACCAAAAGGGATGCAAAAGGGTCCACAAATATTACGAATGACAGAATTATAACTGTTTAGGTTAGACCGATAAATAATGTGAGTAAAAATTAACACTCTTCCATCTTGACTAACGAAGAAAAATAATAAAAGCGATGCAATTCTTCGTTATGGTTATTATTATCATTAATCAATATACAAAAACCTTCAAGCCATCAAGAATATTGTAATTCGGTTCCACCACCATCATCCAATAAAACACTATTTACTGGAATTTTTATCCACCTTTTGCGTCACATGCCCCTTCAATAACGCAATGCTTGTCAGGATAATCTTCGGTGACACGCCTCTTCAACCAAGCAATGCTCATCGAAACAATCACCTTGGGCAACACATGCCCATATAAACCTAACCAGCCAACAACACATTTTCAGTGAACCTGTTCTTACTTAGTAAACCAAAGTAGGTAACACTATGCCACTATCTTTGGTGACACTCGGCCGTGCAATAAAGCAATGCTATTTCGGCAGTTAAAAAACAATACAAATTTGGAAAATACATCGGTTATTACAGTGGTATCACTTTTGCCAGTTAGTTTACCGGAAATGTCAATACGAATTGTATACATGGGTTGATATGTCATATTTTACTATAAAAAATATTGCTTGGAATTATGGTTTTGGTTAGTTTATTGCGACAATAACGTTTAGAAGGACCTCCTCAGGTCGTTGTAATTCGATATGGTACCTTTTTCTTTAATAGAATCGTTGGAATTAAAAAGATAAACAACCAGTTTTTATTATATTGGGTTTAAGTAAATCATCAATTACGAAAATGCCCAATCTCCACTGCGTCCATCAATCGGCGCGGTTGTCTCTTTTGACCAAACTTCCATGCCATCCGTGTAATAAATAGAACACCCGATACGAAAATTGTTTATTAATTGAACAATAATTAAAATTTGACGTCCAATTTTGTGTAAATTCGAATCCGAAATTTATATTTTCTTTTTCCCGATCTTGGACATTTAATTCACGATTAAAGGATAGAACATTTAAATCAAAAACGAACAGCGATACCCAATTTGATTAAATCTTTGTTCTAAAATAATATCGGTTGTCATAAAGTCGATCATCCATAAAAAATAAAGATTCCTGAATTCCAACAACATTTAAAATTTGCTTATTACATATTGAAAAGCTACTATTAATGACAGACAATCTGAATCCGCCCTAAATAAAAATGGAAAGATCTCATCAAATTTAAGCTTCAAAGGACCCAAGACTGTTATTCGCTTTACGACCGAAAATGCAGCGAAACTTGCCACACATATACTATTTAAAAATAAAGCTGCCTTATACCCACCAGTTAACCGTGCATAAAATTTCGGAGATTTATAAAAAAAAATCGGTACACTAGGGCAACAACGAAGATTAGCGCTTCGATTCAGTATCACGACCGGAGGAAAATAAAGCCAATCGTTTGGCTAGTCACTCTTGCCATATAGCATTGTCAAAAACAGCAAAAAAATTGAAGTGAAAAAATATTTCTCCATTTTTTTTCCTGTTCTTTCTAGAGCCCATAAATTCAAGAGTAGCGCATTTATTTGACACTGTACTAATTGTGGTCATTATAGTGACTTTCACTGATCCCACTCTTGATGTCAGAGGTCGTAAAATAAATAATAATAAAAAAATACAGAAAAGGGGGACGGGGACTGATGGCGAGCGATGCGACGTAGAGTTAGACTTCTCGGACATATTAAAAGAATGCACAGAGTGCCCAAAACAAATGAATAATCACTTAATTGATTATGAAAGGGAATCTAACTATACGTGACCCGTTAGATCAACTCCAACATAGCTAATCAAAAATAAACTATCGGAGCCGAATCTATAGTCAGACTATATTCGCCATATCGCGCTCCGTTCACTTCGGGAAAATACCAAAGTGGGTTCCGATGGGTCCATAATATTACAAATGACAGAATTGTAATTGTTTAGGCTAGACTTACTGCGAGTCAAAAATAAACATTCCAAAGACCCAAAACAAAATATGAGTAACGACCACTTAAAGTTAAAGATACCGAAATAACATAATAAATATAATTCCGCTATCCTATTTTTTTTTTGTATTTGTGAAAACTAGATTTTTTTAGAAAAATTAAAATACTGGAAAAACTATTTATTTTAGGTATGTATTATTATCAATAAAAAAGTTGAGGAATTTTGAACGGAATTCAAAACAAAACTGAAAAATAAGGTGTTCCATAAAAAAAAAACATGTTTTATTCGTCACGCTTTTTTGAGTTCTCTTGTATACTTTAAAATAATTTAAAATTGTGCACCCCAACAATCTTTACAACTTTTGTATTTACCATTTTCTCATAACTTTTGAAACCAATGATCTTTACTCTATCGTACAATTTTTACATCAGAAGCTATTAATAGCGTAACTTTAGCGAAATGCATCAACAATTTTTGTTGATGGATTTCAATTTCAACATAAACCATACCACGCAAACATGAAACTTCTACGAAAGCAACACAACCACCATTCCAAATTGTACTTCCGAAGGAGTTTAATTTTTTTTTTCACCAGAGGTATCCTTGAAAGTATTTTTTAAGGACTCCTTAGTGACCAAAATGGAAAATTATAAGTGACACAAAATTGAACCGAAATCAGCTAAGTGGGAGAAGCGAGAAACAAAAAAAAACGGTAAATATGAGAAACAAGATTTTATTGCTTCAGTACCGTTTGGAAATATTTACACACAAACATATTTGTTAAATAGAAAATCGCATCAATACAAAATTATAGGTTCCATTTTTCACTTTTCTTTCGCTATAAACTAGATAATATCAACTAAATTTCCATCGTATCAGCAAGACACAAACATTTAAATAAATACTCGTAAAAAAATAATTCCTATGTTTACACTAGAAATAATACGAAAAAACTTAAACAAGGTAATACAAAATCATATAAAAAACTTACTTTTATATTACATTAGTAATTATTCAACATAGAAAATCATGTTTTATTTCTCCGTAATTAAGATATTGAAATTTTGTTAAACATGGAACACATCCAGAGTATGATCTGAATTATAAACCCAATAAAAGTTTATTATTTACAAAATTTAGTTAGAACTTTTTACAGATTACTATATAAAAAATACACTTTGTGCACAACCTCAAGGAAAAAGCGCCGAATACCCTAGCTAAGGTAGGCGCTGTTTTTTCTTATTTTACAGGAAAAATAAAACTAAAAACTACACAGAGTGACTAAGTGCAAATAATGAACTACATCATATCTACAAAATTAAAAAAATGCTCTTAACCCACATTATCATAATATTTATTTTTATCATAAGACCTCAAGGAAGAACTATTTTTACATAATAGGTATTATTACTTCAGCATTTGGTTTAGGTAAAATAAATTGGGCACACTTCAGTAGTTTTTTGGCTAGAAATATAAATTTGTGTAATCCATATAAACTAAGTAATGTCTGGCCTGATAAAAAAGGACAATGCCGATCATTTTAAAAACCCTCTCGTATCCATACGAGGGGTGACGTTAAATTTTAACAACTTCAAAATACTTATTGCATTACTGTGTTATGTTTAAAAACGTCCTGTGAATATTTCACCGTTTCCCCACTTTTAAACATCACAATTCGATGGCTCAAGTCCAATGCACAACACAGAGGTATGGACCAAGCAAACCTTTAGTACGCTGTATTTGTGATGAAGTAGGATCAGCCATTTTGATTGGTACCTGTCACCCTAAATCCAAAGAAACCGATTTCAGTGTGTTTCTTTTTTCGGCAAGATCGATTGGCATCTCCTAAAATTTTGGAATTTTTCCTTTGATTGGAGTACCATTGAAATTAAGACCAAACTTAAAATGTGGGATACTGATATTTAGAAACTCCCCCATTAATATTTGGAAGTAAGTTTAGTTTGTCTCAACCATATCGCCGAAAATTGCTACTTTTGCGTGCAAGTATCACTTAATGACCCTGAAGTTGTTAACACGTTCTATCCTTTATCCCTAATACTGAAACAATAAACAACCTGCATCGAATTCTCAACAAAGTAAAATCTAGTCTTAAAAAGTAAGTAAAAAAAGGTCAGGTTTGAGAGGGGGAGGGGCGTTCCTAGTGGACAGTTATTAACGTCCACCTTCTCGGTAAAGAAAAACGGGATCGCTATCGTTACATTAGAAGTTATTCTGGTACCGAAAACAAGTTTTTGGGGTAATAAAAGTAGAAATGTAAATAAATATCAGTCCGCTTTGAAAAAATATTCGACGCCATTTGCATAATATTAAAAACAAAACTTCAGTCTCACAGCGCGCCCACCCACAATTTTTACCGTATTGCACAAATTTCGACTAACGAAAGTTAGACGGGCGGAAACACTTTACAGTTACTGCCGTCCACAATTAAAATACGGAGTTTGCACGAATATCGAAAATTGTTTTTTTTTTGTTTTCCACCAAATAGAAATTAACTTTGATGAAACTTTGTGAAATTCGTGCTAAAAAATACAAGAAAATATACGAGGAGTCAGCAAAACAAAAAGGTTGATATAACAACACGGTGTGTCTGATCATTTTGTTCAAAACAAAACAAAGCATTCGCTGTAGTGTGGCCTCAGTTTTCAATTTAATTGAGATTCTAAGCAAATAATAACATGGTAAAATAATTGCGCAAGCCAAAACAGACACATTGTTCACGTTTTTGGTAAGAGTTGTAAATTCAAACGAAATATCTACCAGAACAATTAGAGTAAAGTCGGGAAGTAAGGAATTTGTTATCATTTTAAAATAGGTGGCTCCACCTCTAAGGTTATTGTAAAAATTTTAGACATGAAATGAAATTACCACGTACGTCACAAACGCCAAAAAAAATTGAGGTTATGATTTCTATGTATTTGCAGTTCGTGCATGGTGTCAGTTAAAATGGTTTTGTGACTACAATCTTTTTAAATAAACCATAACCATTTGCTTCGTTATTTTCCATAATGAAAAGTAGGGAACTTGCTTTGTTTACATTGTGTGTAGCTTTAATATGGAATATTCCATATCACCTCTATTACTATTGCTTACAGTCCGTTGAGTAAAAAGTAAGAGATCTTTTTTATTTCTAGAAATAATGTCTACTGGCTTAAGAAAAAGCAAAAACCACAGCAAAAAAAATGTTACACGCAACACACTTTTTCACCTCTGCAGCACTGAAGGACCTCCAACAACTGTTGGGTAAAAAAATACTTTTGTCAGAAGAGTTGGAAGTCGCTGGAACTGGAACTTCCATAGCAGCAGCCGTTGAGAGAAAATGTCACTTGATTTTTCGACAGAGTATGACGGAGCGAAATTATGGACCTCAGCAAATATATAACCTAGATGAGTCGGTGTTGTCTATAGTGCAATCAAGATGTCCAGAGGCAAACTACAAGTTGGTGCTATTTCGTCAGCAGAAAGAGGATCTCTTATTTTGGGCCCCCCATTATTATATTTCCACACACAATAGTCAACGACCAGCTGAAAAAGGGAGCATCTGGATGGATTCAAACAGATTTATTTACAAAATGATTTGACCACTCCCTAGAAAAAGCCAAACCCTCAGCAACCAATGCAATACTACTGATATTGGACGGCCATCACACTCCCACTAGAAATCTAGATGTAATTATCTAAGCCAAAGAGAATCATGTTAATATTTTATGCCTACCACCGCATAGGACACATAAACTTCAGCCCCTTGACAAGACCGTCACGGGTGCATTCAAGAACTTCTATAACTTAGAAGTGAGGAACTTCATGAGAACGGAAAAACGTGTAGTAACATATTATGATATTGCCAGTTGTTTGGTACAGCTATTAAAGGGTTTAGTGCGAGAAGAAATATATAAAGAAAAAAGAATTTTCGGCCTAAATTCAAAAAGAATATCAAAATCTACCGAATGATAATACACGTTCTAAAAAAGAGCAAAATAATAGTAATATTCATTCTAGTGACATAGTTTCCTTGCCACAACAAAGAAGCCGGGAAATTGGCGAAGGAAATATGAACGTTCTAAATAATTATGTCAACGCTGAATAAGGAAGAATTAGAACAATTAATTAATCTTTCACAACAAAAAGTCAGCGGAAAAATGTTTTGGGACCTGGACCTAGAGGATTACAAACCGAGAGGGTAGTCATAAAAAAAGTCCCCTCTAATTGATCTGATTCACAATCTGAGCTATTAGTTGATTATTCATCATTAAGCTGCTACAATAAAAATCCAACCGATGAAGATATCCCATGCATTTTTTGCCAAAAAAAGTTTTCGAGTGAAAGCAGAGAATCTGCAAAGAATGCCCTCACGAAGTACGGTACACGGCATTGGACTCAATAGTTTATTTTACACGAGCGGAGCGAGTGTTTAATAAACAAGTGACTTAAAATTTACCGAACGTGTTGCATACTATTCTTTTTCTACGACCGTTAGTTTTTGGGTACTTTTTCGCAAAACACGAATACATTCACTGACATGAAAGTCAGAATAGACAAATGTCACAATTCAAGGGGTGGGAATCATCCGATGCTCCCAAACCCGTGCGGTAAAATCCAGGAAATGTCCGAAGTGGCTCAAATCCGTGGGAAACGAAACTGAAGTGGTAAAGTCTTCCCGCATGCTACAGCGGTGTTTAATTAGGTCGGGACTAGAAAAAAGATGTTTTTGTTTGCGATTTTTGCGATTCCTAGATGCCTATCTTATGTTCCGAATTTAAATAATTTTAGTAAGTGTCTAAATATTTTTTATGCATGATAAGTCTGTTCCATATTAGTCCTCCACTTGTTATTTTAGAACAAAAATGCGTTTTGTAAAAATATTTTTATGAAGTTACCAAATCCGTTTTAGTTCTCAATTTAGCACCTGTCACTCTTTGGAGATACATAGAACTATTTATTAATAAAATATTGCAGCTTTAAACACTTTTGTTTTAATGTTATTACTAAATAATATTCTATATACATATGCCTACTTTACCATCAGATACTTTGAACACACCTAAGCTTGTAGTCCAAAAATTAGTAACAAAAAAATTTAGCAATTTTACGTCTCGTCAAAAATTAAAAAAGTTCCGGGAAGGTTACATTGGAATATAAAAATTATATAAATTTTATTATATTATATAAAATAATATATAATTATATAAAATAATATATAAATTATAAGTTTTTTTCATACCGTATAATTTGGAAACAATTTATTTATTTAATCACAATATTTCATTAAGACGCGGCAAGCTGTAATTTTCCCAGTTGTTTCTTCATTACCGCCATTTTTTATTGTGGACGGCAGACCTACCGAGACTGAGTTCCGCACGCGCGTTATCATCATTTTTCGAAATATATATTCGGAGATCAAAAAATTTCGGCTAGGTCCGCAACAACAATCAACTAACAAAACTAATAATTTATTCAACTCAAAATCACTTTCGGAATTCCACTCGCACACCAATAACAACGAGAAATGTACAAAATTACCGTTCCGCGGGCGTCCTCGCTCTGTAAAAAAAGCGCTTATACTAGTTTTACACTGACGATTTCCTCATGGATTCATGAAGTTGGTTGACGAGTGCAACTATGATGTCAAATACTCGTCGAACAAATTCACGGACTTCTTCATAAATTAATTCAGGAAATAAAAATAATTTTATTCAAAATTCAGTAATGCCAACTATTAAAATCAATCAAAGAGCAAGTTTTTGAGTTAAGACGCTTTTGGTGGTTATTTGAGATTTATCAGGGGGAAAAAACACAAAGTCTCAGCCTCAGAAAACAAATGTATTACAGTTACACGTATTTCGCCCGTTCGAGCATCATCACACCTATAATATACTATAATTAATATTAGAATTGGGTTAAAAACCAACAATTTGTTACCTTGGATTTTAAGTTAGTCATTTAATTAAACATCAAACGTAACAAATTGTTGGTTTCAACCCAATCCTTACATTAATTATAGTATATTATAGATCCTATGATGCCCGAACGGGCGAAACACGTGTAACTGTAATACATTTGTTTACTGATGCTGAGACTGTGTTTTTTGAGTAATGGACGAATTATCACTATTTGAGATTTGTTGTTGTTGTTGTGGTCGTCTTTTAGTCAACTTGGTGAAAGAGAATAAGGGCAAAGAGAATGTCAGCGACAATGTACCATCCGAATCCGAGTGGCCTCAGGATATTAACCTATCAAATGAAGAAAACTGCTTAGCCTCACCTAAGATAATTGCGGCTGCAGCGGTTCATCAAGCGATAGTAGTATTGTTTTGGAGGGTGAACCTGAACCAGAAAATCTTCAGGAAGGTACTATTTCCACGATTGCCGAATTTCAACAAAATGAGCCCAATCTAGAAGAACGAAAAGGAAAGAAGAGGTTAAGAAAAACGAAGACATGGAAATCAAAAGTCGCTACTAAGAAACTCCGGTCAAGCCTATCAATCCCTATCCAAAAGGAAGAATCACATCCCAGAAAAAAACTTCGTCCACCTTGCGGAGCCAAATGTGGACTAAACTGTACGAGTAAGATTGATGAACCATCTCGACAGCTGTTCTTTGATTCATATTGGAAACTAGCGGATCTTCATAGGCAAAGAGAGTTCATAGTACGGACTCACAAGAAATTAAACCCAAATACAGGTATTCTAGTACACAAAATCTAAGAGCTCTAACAGGACATTTTATTTTGAAGTAAATGGATCGAGAATTAAAGTGTGCAAAGCATT